TGAGATGGAGTCTTGCTTTGTCACCCAGGCTAGGGTGCAGTGGCACGATCTCAGCTCACTGCAACCTCTGCCTCCCAGATTCAATCAATTCTGCTGCCTCAGCCTCTTGAGTAGCTGGGATTAACAGGTGCCTGTCAGTATGCTCGACAAATTTTTATTTTTATTTATTTTTTATATTTAGTAGAAATGGGGGTTTTACCATGTTGGCCAGGCTGGTCTCAAACTCCTGACCTCAAGTGATCCACCTACTTCAGCCTCCCAAAGTGCTGGGATTACAGGCATGAGCCACTGCACCCGGGGCAAAAAAAAAACCCAACTCTTTAAAGTCTAATTTTTCCTGACTCATTTCCTATTTCCAGGACATAATTTACATTTAATATTGCTGAATTATTGTGATGTGCTAATGAATAGGGCATGCAAATTAAGTGTGCTTTGAAAGATGCCTGCTTATTATTGGTATGCCCAAGATATCAGCAAGCATCCCCAATTGGTTATTTTTCTAATTATTTCTATAATTTCTTCCTCTTGCCTTCTCTCTTTCCAGTCTATATAAGGCAATCTGGGACTTCCATAGTTGTCCGTGCTCTCATGAACATATAACTGATTTATAAAAGACTCTTTCTTACTATTGGAACTTACCAGTTTTTTTCAATCATTATTTGTGGTTTTTCATTATAATTTTCAAGCTACAAAAGTGACTGACAATCAATAAAACCTTGGAAATAATCATTGAAAATCTTTCAATTACATACCTTTCACTTAGAAATTTTAAAGGGTTTTATCCTATAGTATTGATCAGAAAACTTTTCAAAGTCATGTTTATCACAACATTATTTAAAATGCAGAAATTAATTATCTCTAGGTGTTAGAGTTATGGGTATTTTTGGATTTTTGCTTATTTGTATTATAGATCTATAATGAATATATTCTATTTATATAATTTAAAAGATTTTTATTTAGGCAGTAAGTAATAGACTGTAATGTGAGTAAAATTGTGGTAATGATGGGATGTTTCCTTTTTTTATAGGGAGAAGAAGCTGATGATGATGATATTTACAACGTTCTTTCTACATTAAAGCGGTTAACTTCTTTTCACAAGTATGTTGTTTTATTTAAAGTAAAGGCAGCGAGGTGGCTCATGCCTGTAACCCCAGCACTTTGAGAGGCCAAGATGGGCAAATCACTTGAGGCCAGGAATTCAAGACCAACCTGGCAAAACCTGTCTGTACAAAACACAGAAATTAGCTTGGCATGATGGTGCGCGCCTGTCGTCTCAGCTACTCAGGAGAGGATGGTGCATGCCTGTGGTCCCAGCTACTCTCCTGCTAAGGCAGGAGAGGCAGGAGGTGGGGGTTGCAGTGAGCCGACATCGCGCCTCTGCACTGCAGCCTGGGTAACAGAGTGAAACTCTTCTAAAAAAAATAAATAAATAAGTAAAGTAAATGTAGTAAGCCAGGTGTGCAGGCACACAGCTATGGGCCCAGCCACTCGGAGGTTGAGGAAGGAGGATCACTTGAGCCTAGGAGTTTAAGGCTGCACTTGATGATGGCACTGGCCCATGATCATGCCTGTGTATAGCCACTGAGCTTCAGCATATGTAGTATAGTGAGATGTGATCTCAACAACAACAAAAAGATAACATAGATTTAATGAATGGCATGTATTAGCCAACATACACTGACTGACTGTCTTTGTTGGGTTTGACATTAATAACAATGGGAATTTTAGGCCTGGTGTCATGGCTCACACCTATAATCCCAACACTTTGGGAAGCCAAGGTATGTGGGTCCCTTGAGCCCCAAGAGTTTGAGACCAGCCTGGGCAATATAGGCAGACCCTGTCTCAATTAAAACAAAATGTATGCTTTTTTAAAAATGGGAATTTTAGAAGTATATTGAGATATGTTTTTTCTTTATTCAGATTTCTCTAGATGATTATGTTTTGCTGTCATTGAATTACTTTTTTTTTTTTTTTTTTAATGAGACAGAGTCTTACTCTGTTGCCCAGACTGAAATGCAGTGGCATGATCTCAGCTCATTGCAACCTCCACCTCCCAGGCATAAGTGATTCTTATGCTTTAACCTCTGGAGTAGCTGGGACCACAGGTGTGCATTACCATGCTTGGCTAATTTTTATATTTTTAATAGAGACAGGTTTTTCCAAGTCAGCCAGGCTGGTGTTGAACTCCTGACCTCAAGTGATCTGCCAGCACTTGGCCTTCCAAAGTGCTGGGATTACAGACGTAAAACATTGCGCCTGGCCTATCATTTAATCACTTAAGGTATAATATTTATTCAATGTAATGATTTACCTATCACTTGATGTAATGAATATACACTGTAAAAGTTTAAGGCTATCAGTATTTAACAAATTAGGCTTATTTCATCAGCTAGAGTCCTACAGGTATAATTTTCAATTGATAGCTTTTAGAAATCTTGCTCTTAATAAATAAGAAATAAGATTTGTTACCAGGCATGGTGGCTCATGCCTGTAATCTCAGCACTTTGGGAGGCTGAGATGGGTGGATCACTTGAGTCCAGGAGTTAAAGATCAGCCTGGCCAACATGACAAAACCCCATCTCTATTAAACACACACACACACACACACGCACGCACGCACGCCAGGCATGGTGACGCACGCCAGGCATGGTGGCACACACCGGTATTTTGAGCTGTTGGGGATGTTGTGGCATGAGAATCACTTGTACTGGGGAGGCAGAGGTTGTAGTGATCTGAAATCACACCACTGCACTTCAGCCTGGGTGACAGAGCAAGTCTCTCTCGAAAGAGAGAGAGAGAGAGAGGGAGGGATGGAGGGAGGTAGGGAGGGGAAAGAAGGAGAGAAGTGGGGGGAGGAAGGAAGGAAGGAAGACAAGAAGGAAGACAGGCAGGTAGGTGTGGGGGAGAGTTGGGATATATTGGTCAAAGGATATAACATTTCAGTTATATGGGAGGAATAAATTTAAGACATCTATTGTACAACATGGTGACTATAGTTGAAAACAATGTGTTCTTGAAAATTGCAAAGTGTAGATTTAATATTTTTTCAAAAAGAATTTTTGTGACAGGTTCTTGCTCTGTAACTCAGGCTGGAGTGCAGTGGCATAATCATGGCTCACTGCAGCCTGAACTTTCCGTGCTCAAGGGATCCTCCTACCTCAGTCTCCCAGTTAGCTGGAACTACAGGCACATGCCACCACACTTGGCTAATTTTTTAAATTTTTTCTAGAGACAGGGTTTTGCCATGTTGCCCAGGCTAGTCTTGAACTCGTGGGCTTAAGCAGTCCTCCTGCCTCAGTCTCCTGAATTGCTGGGATTACAGGCATAAGCCACCGCACCCAACTGAGAGTAGATTTTAAGTGTTCTCACCACAAGAATAAAATGAAAGTATGTGAGGTAATCGATATGTTAATTAGCTCAATTTAGTCATTCCACAATTTATACAAATTTCAAAGCAACATGTTGTATACAGTAAGTATATACTAATTTTTATTTCTTAACATAAAGGACAAAAAGAAATAAGATATTCAGGAAAGTCATGAGTTATTGCCTTGAGCTTTTTTCTTGAATTGTTCCTGTTTGGTTGGTTATTGTGTTCTTACTATGTCAATAGAACAAGTGGATTGAATAAGGACAAAGGACTCAGATCACTGAAGTTTGTGTTGTCAAATTGTAATTTGTACATCTCTTATAATGAGACGTGCCTGTCTTCTCCATAATGAAAACAAAGAACTTTGTTGTCCAAAGAGAGTTTGAGTGTAGCTGTTACACTAATCAGTACTTCAAATTTCAAAATCAATTTCCAAACTCTGAGTCTTTGTATGCAAGTAAATTTTTTTAGAATTCCATAGAAAAGCAAACTTTTATTTTTTAAAAAACTGTCATTTGAAAACAGAAGTTAATAGTGTCAAAATGACTATCTTTAGTAGTGGAGCTCCTGAGAATTTAAAAATTTCCTATTATCACATTCATAAGTCCTCAGCTCAAGTAAATAGCTATAGTGCCATTTTTGAGCTTTCCCATTTTTACTTTCCCCTAATTTTGTCTTTATCTCCATTTTGTGAAAGAAGTCTCTTTCAAAAATACACATGTGGTTATATTTTTAAATTGTAAATGGATTTCTTTAAAATAATGCTTTTGAATAGGCCTGATGTAGTGTCTCACGTCTGTAATCCCAGCACTTTGGAAGGCCAGTACAGGCAGATCACTTGAGCCCAGGAGTTCAAGATCAGCCTGGCCTACATGGTGAAACCCCCTCTCTACCAAAAATACAAAAATTAGCGGGATGTCTTGGCACACACCTGTAGTCTCAGCTACTCAGGAGGCTGAGGCATGAGACTCTTAAACCTGGGAAGCAGAGGTTGCAGTGAGCCGAGATTGCGCCACTGCACTTCAGCCTGGGTGACAGAGAGAGACCCTGTCTCAAAAGAAAAAAAAAAAGAAAAAGAGAAAGATAGTTTTAAATATAGTATAAAGAGAGTTTATCCATATGTGAAATAGACTATGAGCTTAGCTTGACCGTGCGGTAGAAACTTTCAGTTAAATGTATGAGGTTTTATTTTTGTTGATTTCTTTAATAAATTCGTAGTATTATCTCTTTTTCTTTCTACCTTTCTTTCAAATTTGAGCATTTAATGAACATTTCCTTAATGGTTCTTTTTCAATTCTGCAAACAAATGGATTTTTTTTTTTTTTTTTTTTTTTCACAGAGTCTTGCTTGGTCGCCCAGACCATGCAGTGGCATGACCTCGGCTCACTGCAGCCTCCATGTCTCGGTTTTAAGCAATTCTCCTGCCTTGGCATCCCAAGTAGCTGGGACTGCAGGCATGTGCCACCATGCCCAACTAATTTTTTAAATGTACTTTTAGTAGAAACGGGTTTCACCCTGTTGGCCAGGCTGGTCCTGAACTCTTGACTTCAAGTGATCTGCCAACCTCGGCCTCCCAAAATGCTGAAATTATAGATATAAGCCACCATGCCCAGCCAAAATGAAATTATTTTATTCTTCCACTCACTTGAAGTGAGCTCAAGTTTAAATTTCCTTCAATCGACTGTAGAATAAAACGAATGCATTTTTGTTTATTTCAGTGCACATGATCTCACAAAATGGGATCTCTTTGGTAATTGCTACAGATTATTGAAGACTGGAATTGAACATGGAGCCATGCCAGAACAGGTAAGAGTTTATTCATGTTCCATCTGTGTGACTCTAGAAAGTTGAGCTTTTCTGAAGTCATGTGATTATCAGAAGCTTTTTATACAAAGTAATTGATCATTCTTTAGGACACCTTTCTCCTTTGAGAGAATTATTTGCTATGGTAATTTAATATTACTGATAGGTGTATTATATCTGCTGATGTGTTAGAGCAGAAAAAATAGAAAACTTTTGCTATAACATATTATAAAAAAAATTTTTTTTCTTGAGACAGAGTCTCACTTTGTCGCTAGGTGCCAGGCTAGAGTGCAGTGGTATGATCTTGGCTCACTGCAACCTCCGCCTCGCGGGTTCAAGCAGTTCTCCTGCCTCAGCCTCCCAAGTAGCTGGGACTACAGACACGCACCACCACGCCCAGCTAACTTTTGTATTTTAGTACAGATGGGGTTTCACCATGTTGGCCAGGATAGTCTCGATCTCTTGACCTTGTGATCTGCCCACCTCGGCCTCCCAAAGTTCTGGGATTACAGACGTGAGCCACTGCACCCGGCCACATATTATAAAAATGTTAATGTTAAGGTAGACATTCCTCTATTAGGAAAAATACCATTAATTACTACAGCAGCAGTTTTAAAACTTTTAGTTTATTCATTACATAATGAAAACTGATAATGGGTACATTCCAGCCCTGTTCTAGGTATTAATCATATTAAGCATGGCTTAATTTTTATATTAGAACCATAGTTAAATCAACATGTAGCCTTTAATAGACTTTAAAACTTTTTACATTCATATGCTAGTTAGAGTAGAACGGGCAGAAATTCAACAAATTTTGCCTTATCTGAAAGAGACTTCAGTAGAATAATTAGTCTACTTGATTCAGTATGAGAAAGGAAGGAGTTATTTTGTACATTGCACACATTCATGTAGACCAAAATATCAACTACATTGTTAAGTGTGGGTAATATTTAGGGGTTATCTTACTCGTTTCCATTTGGTAATACAGAATGCTTAGATGATAGTTTATTACTCCAAAGCAGTAAGAATTTCAACAGATAAAATAATAATCTTATATTAAAAGTTAATCATGGACCAGGCGCAGTGGATCAGCTGAGGTCAGAAGTTCCAGACCAGCCTGACCAACATGGTGAAACCCCATCTCTACTTAAAATAAAACAATTAGCCAGACACAGTGGCATGGACCTGTAGTCCCAGCTACTTGGGAGGCTGAGGCTGGAGAATCGCTTGAACCTGGGAGTTGGAGGTTGCAGTGAGCCGAGATCACGCCACTGCACTTCAGCCTGGGCGACAAGCGAGACTCTGTCTCCAAAAAAAAAAAAATAGTTAATTATGAAAACAGTTTTTATTATTGCTGTGATTAATTCATTTAAATTGCATAACACTAGTCATTTTCTTGGTCCCTACAAATGTCCCTGATTATGTTAGGTATTTTTATTGTAGTTTATGCAAAGACACTAAATATTTTACCCTCTTTTTTAAAAAATGTATTCCTGACACTTCAACTTCCCATCTTCTCTTCATCTCAGACCAGCAGCCTAAATAAAATTCATCCATATTTTCAAGCCATGCTTCTAAGTTGAAAATGAATGAGAGAGTTAAGATATTCTTTTTATGCTTTTCTCTATTTACTCCAGGGAGAGAATAAGAGTACATCTCTGTTTCATCTACTGTGTTGAAATTTTTTTACTTAATATACCGTCATTTTTGTCCTAGTACTGACTTGTGACAGCTTCACAATGTTATCTTCTATTGTTTTTTTGGTTTTCTGTTGCTTATGTTCATTGTATATGTCTTATTTTCTCCATTTTATTGTTGGATAAAAGAACATATTTATGTGACATTAAAAGTTCTTTGGCTTTAACTTTGTTATTAAACACATGTTTGTTAACTATGCATATAAAGTTTGAGTTCATAACTCACATATGACTAGATTGTACTCCTGTTCCTTTTAGCAGCTCTGAGAAATATCTATTAACATACTAAATACAGAAATTCTGTATTCAAAAAAAAAAAGAAAGAAATTCTGTATTCAACCACTTTTTTGTTTGTTTGATTTTGAAACAGAGTCTCGCTTTTGTCACCCAAGCTGGAGTGCAGTGGCGCGGTCTTGGCTCATTGCAACCCCCACCTCCTGGGTTCAAGCGATTCTTCCGCCTCAGCCTCCGAGTAGCTGGGATGATAGGCCTCTGTCGCCACCCTGGCCTAATTTTTGTAGTTGTAGTGGAGATGGGGTTTCACCATGTTGGCCAGGCTGGTCTTGAAACTCCTGACCCCAAGTCATCTGCCTGCCTTGGCTTCCCAAAGTGTTGGGATTTCAGGCATGAACCATCGTACCTGGCCCTCAACCACTTCTTAATACAACCATGCAAGCTCACTGTTTAAGGTTCCAACTGTATACTTACAATAAGAATTCAGAGAAAATACCTTTCAGAGCAGGGATACTGAAGAACCACCAAAATGTTTATTATTGTTGACTCTCAGTTGTGCTTAATGTTTTGAAGATACTTTAACACTGTCTAGCTGTTTGGGGAGACTATATTCGCTGTATGCTTGACTATTTTTTGTTTTTTGGCTTTTTTTTATGATAACCAATTCAACTATAAGTTCTTATTTCCTTCCTTCACTGAATTATTACACAGGCATACCTCATTTTATTGTGCTTTGCTTTATTGCATGATTTTTTCAAATTGAAGGTTTGTGGCAACCCTGCATCAAGCAAGGCTAACAGTGCCATTTTCCCAACAGCATATGCTTACTTAGTGTTCCTGTGTCACAGTTTGGTAAATCTTGGTTATTTCAGACTTTTTCATTAGTATTAAAGCTGTTATGGTGATTGGTGATTAGTAATCTTTGATGTTTCTATTGTAACTGTTTTGGGGCACCATGAACTGTACCCATATAAGACAGTGGACTTAATCCATCAATGTTATGTGTGTTTTGACTGCTCCATTGACAGGCCCTTCCCTGATCCCTTTCCCTCGCAGGCCTCCCTATTCCCTGAGACACAGCAATATTGAAATTAGGCCACTTAATAACCCTACAGTGTTCTCTAAATGTTCAAGTGGAAGAGTCACACTTCTCTCACTTTTCATGACTGCTAACACAACAGAAGTAATTTTTACTTTCAAGTCTTAATTATTTAAGAAAAAATATTGCATAAGCCTAATAGCTGCCATAGAAAGTGACTCCTTTGATGGATCTGGGCAAGAAAATTGAGAAACTTCTGGAAAGGATTCACCATTCTAGATGCCATTAAGAAATTTGTGATTCATGGGAGGAGGTCCAACTGTCAACATTAAAAGGAGTTTGAAAGAAGTTTATTTCAGTGTTCGTGGATGACTTTGAGGGATTCAAGACAAGTTGAGGAAGTCACTCAGATGTAATGGAAATAGCAAGAGAACTAGAATTACAAGTGGAGTCTGAAAAGGTGCCTGAATTGCTGTACTCTCATACTCATACTTGAAGAGATGAGGAGATGCTTCCTGTGGATGAGCATTTAAAGAGATGGTATTTACTCCTAGTGAAGATGCTGTGAACATTGTTAAAATGACAACAAAGGATTTAGGATATTACATGAACTTAGTTGATAAAGCAGTGACAAGGGTGGGAGAGGGTTGTCTGCAGTTTGAAAGAAGTTCTGTGGAAAAAAATGCTGTCAAATAGCATCACATGCTACAGAGAAATATTTTATGAAAGGAAGAATCAATTGATGCAGCAAACTTTTCGTAGTCATCTTAAGAAATTGCCACAGTCACCCCAGCCTTCAACAACCACACTGATAAGTCAGCAGCTGTCAACATTTGAGGCAAGACCCTTTACCACTGAAAAATTATGACTCACTGAAGAGTCAGGTGATTGTTAGCATTTTGTAGCAATAAAGTATTATATTTTTTAGTGAAGCTATGTACATTGTTTTTTCAGACATAATGCTGTTGCACACTTTTATATGCACTGTGAAACCAAAGGTTTTGTGACTTGCTTTATTACAGTATTTGCTTTTTTGTGATGGTCTGGGAGTAAACCTGTACTATATCCAGTGTATGCCTGTGCGTTTGTATATTTTTTTCCCTCCTAGTGATTTATCTTTTTTCATACAAGTACTGTTTCAACCATTATAGTTTTAGAGTATGTGGAAGACCGTCTAGGTGTGGTGGCACACATCTGAAGTCCAAGCCTTTTGGGAGGCTGAGGCAGGCGGGTCACATGAGGCCAGAAGTTTGAGACCAGCCTTGCCAACATGGCAATATCCTGTCTCTATTAAAAATTTAAAAGCAGTTGGGCATTGTGGTACACATCTGTAATCCCAGCTACTTGGGAGACTGAGGCACGAGAATCACTTGAATCCGGGAGGCAGAGGTTACAGTGAGTTGAGATCCTGCCACTACACTCTAGCTTAGGCAACAGAGTGAGACTCTATTTCAAAATATAAAAATAGGCTGGATGCAGTGGCTCACGCATATAATCCCAGCACTTTGGGAGGCCGAGGTGAGCAGATCACCTGAGGTCAGGAGTTTGTGACCGACCACCCTAAAACAGAGAAACTCCATCTCTACTAAAAATACAAAATTAGCCAGGCGTGGTAACGCATGCCTGTAATCCCAGCTACTTGGAAGGCTAAGGCGGGAGAATCACTTGAACCCAGGAGTCGGAGGTTGTTGTGAGCCAAGATTGCACCATTGCACTCCAGCCTGGGGAAAAAAAGCAAAACTCCCATCTCAAAAAAGAAAAAATTTTTTAATATAAAAAATGAAAAAATAATGTAGCAGACCAAAAAGAAATTGTATATTCTGTTTTTTTAATCAAATTATAAAAATGTTGTGGGAAGATTCAACTAATCAGTTTTCAATATTTTCCCACATTTCTGTACTTGGACAACATGTGTTACATATGTTAATATGCATTTATAAAATATATATTAGGCCTGGTGTGGTGGCTCACACCTGTAATCCCAGCACTTTGATAGACTGAGGTGGGTGGATCACTTGAAGTCAGGAGTTTGA